AGTGAAATGTTTCTGATTCAATAAGGTATGGGAATCTGTGAGCCTTAATACCATCTGTGGCCTTAGGCTGTCCCTTCCTAACAAGTGTTAATTTACACATGCTCTGGGCTCTTACTTTGCCCCCGCATATGTATTTTGGTGGAAGAAACACTGCAAAATGTGTTCTCTCACCCATGCCTGAAGAATGGAGGCAGTTGCTGGCTGTGCTGTCCCCAGCCTGCAGGATGTCACCCTGCTAATATGGAGCCAAGTCTAGGTCTTGCAGGTGTGAGAGATGAGGTAATATTTTGCTGCAGCCAAAAGGTTATTAAGTCAAAGAATGAAAGTTGTTGGTTCTATGTGTTGTTATTTGTGGTTTGGATTTGTTCTAGTTAATTTGTTGAGTGTTGCCGTGAGCTGGGAGAGGGGTGGGGTTGAAGACCTGACCAAAACGAAGTAGGATGAGAGGGGAGGGGACACAAAAGTAGGTGGTCCGGAAAGAATATAAGTTCCTGAGTATCAGCTAATGGGAAAAGGGACAGGGACCGCCCCGGCCTCGAAAGGGTATAAAAAGTTGCTATTTTTTTAGAGGGTGTGTGTGCTGGGCTCTCAGGCGCCCAGATGGCTGTGCTGAATCAGTGCAAACAGTTTTCTTTTGCTTCGAAGACTTTGTCCCCATTTAAATTGTATCTAAAAGTTAGCTTTTTTCTAACACAGATATCCTTTACAGTGCAAGGGTTTAATGTGTTGCAGGATGGCTTTCTCCAGCTCCTCTCGCAGTTAGGAACACATGCTCTTGTTCTGGATATGCTGATTACAATTGGATCCCACCTTCTCTTGCAGCTCAGCCTCTCACAGGGGCTGCTCCAGCTCAGCTTAGGAGGGAGCTGTTTCAAATTAGCAAAGAGTCTGAGGTAATTGAGCTCTTATTTAATGTAGTTTTACCCCTACCAAAATAAATTATAGAAACCTCTTAACAAGCCCATTGGCCAGCTGAGGCTCTGCTCACTGACCAATGTCCCCCACGGACACTCCATCCCCAGAGAACTAGCTAGGTACAGTAGCCTGGTCTGACACATTTGTGTGCACTGTCACTATGTGGAAATGTTGCACTATGTCACATTCAAGCAAGAAAGAGTTTGTACATCCCATAGTTAATTTAAAAGAAACTATTTTTGCATTGACACGTTGCCTAGAAATTCAGACTGCTTAATGACTCATGTTTGTACCTGAGCAAGATAAGCATCTGAATTGTTACACACTCCTAGCTTTGAATCTTCCATCCCTCAAGAGCTTCCCTGTGACTGCACTACCCATGACAGAAGAGCACTGACAAAAAAGTCCTTTGAGTCAGAAGCTTTGCACAGACTGCATTGCTGCGGTTTTCATCTCTGTGTTTTGCTCTGAGTAAATGAAAACTTGGATTTTCAAGACAATTAGACTGGGTTTACTCACAGGAAAGAGGAAATGACAAGCTAGAGTTGGTTTTGAAGCCGTACAGGGAAAAAAATTGTAGAACTTTGGGTGCATTTAAAGGTGGAGGGGAGCAGCCATGGACTGCATTCTCTATGAGCAGAACCACATCTTGTAGCACCAAGTGACATTACAGTGGTGTGTAATGTGTCCAAGGACTGACCAGAACCCCATGGCAACACCCCCACAAATGGAATCAGAGCTAATGGAAGCTTTTGCATGAGTTCAAAGTAATATTCCCATCCTTGTTAGTTGTGATTTGTCCCCAGTGGCTCCAGGCAGCCAAAGCAAGCAGAAGTGTCAAGGAGAATCACCCCTGTGAGTAACTAGGGCTTTGTTTCTGCAAACGATTTAATGATGAAATGTCATTTTTAAGTTATATCTGGGAAGCCAGATTTGAAGCTCCAGAGAGATCAGAAGCTTCTTACTAACCCTATGGTATCAGTGCCTTTTTTTGACACTTGGCATTCAGTTCTGCCAAGGTGCTGCTCTGGCTGGTTGCACTTTTATGTCTTTCAGAAATAGCAGTTCTGAGTTCAGGAAGTCTGAAGTGTGTCTTGTACCCAGCTGGGAAGTTGGATTTTACAAACCCAAGTCTGCAGCAGTACTAGGTATTCCAAGGAGTGCTCTTCTACCTCATTTCTCCTGGGTATTTTAGTCCAAGATGTGACTTCGTCTTCCAGCGCTGCCCTGCTCCTACCATCGTGGTGGGATGCTGCCAGATAGAGATTGTCTCAGTGCCAGGTGCCTCCTTAGGGAGGAGGAAGGATGCAGGCATTGATGGAACAGCAAATAGCTTGGAAAATACCCCTCCCTCCATTAGATCAGAAAAGGCTGGGGTGAACAAGTGCACAGCGGTCCACCTAACTGTGAACAAACCCTTCCTCACTTTTCATGGCTGTTCTGTGGCACCTATCTGGTTTTTACTGAAACAGCGTAAAAACTACTTTAAGTGCTGACAGCAAATAAAACAGGCCAGGAAGATTTTTGTCTCTAAGAATTCTTGCCTAAAGGCAGCATAGTATGGGATATTGCTGCATGAAGAATCCACCATCAGGCACTAAATGTTCTCTAAGAAATGCTCTAGCACAGCTCTGGGGCTTGATATACAGATAAAGGCAACTGCATCTTTTACCCCATCAGTTACAGGTGGCACAACTCAACACTTCTCAGTGTCAGGACCTGGAGATGTGAAGCCAGTTGTGCAACCGAGGCGATTGAGGGGACCCAGTGAGCCTGGCAGAGCTGAGCAGCTACACTTCATGTTCAGGAGGGGCTCTGTCCTGTGAACTCCTCCAGAGCTGCCCCAGCAGGACTATGCTAATTCTGCTTTTCTTCTAAATATTTCTCAGGTTAAATCCCTTCTATGTCTTATACCACAGAGATGTTGAAGAAATTCCTTTCTCAAAGAAAGGATTTACCCAGCCATACTTGTGTTATCAGAAAAATTTATTGAGCTATTAATACATAACAGCCCATTAGCTGGACACTTGACCTATCTAAATTCTGTTTGTTAAGTTACAATGAGTTTGCAGTTTGGGTTTAGGTCTATGGGAAAAAATAACTTGGGAAATTCTTCAAAGACAGCATTGTGAACATTTCCCCTTGACTAGGCTTGACCATGGCTATCTCTGAAGCCACCCTTGAGGTGCCCCCTGCTTATCCTCTGTATGTGCACCAGTTCGGGCTCAGGCTGATATATAGCTGCAAGCGTGGCTCAAGAACTGTGTGGGGAACTGGGAGGCTGATCCTGTACAGCTGGGCCAGCTGCTGGCCAAAGCGACCAGAATAGTGTGAAAAGGAGCATTTGGAGCTTGGGAGGGAGAAATTAGTGGAAAAATTCAGCTGGAAGGGACCTGCAGCAATCATCTAGTCCAACTGCTTGGACACTCCAGGACTGAATCCTAGAAACCAACTTTCCTTTATTAAAAGCATATTTGTTTAAAAAATATACCCCCCCAAAAAAAACCCAACAATAAAGCAAAAAACAATTTTAAAATATGCTAAGTGCTATTAAAACAAACTTATTTTTAATAAAATTCTGAATTCTCATTTGTGAGTGATGCTTATCCCTTAAGTGTTTTGAGGAGCCTGTGCAGTGCTTGGCAGTGAGAGCAGGCTTGTTGCAGTGGCCCCAAGCCACAGCTGCGTGAAAGGGCAAAATTATTGTTGTGTATTCTAAAACTGAAAGAAGTTATTTTCCACAGAACAAGACAAAGTATCAAATAATTGTGCTTAGTCAACACAGTAAGATGATACAATATCCTTTGGCGAGGGGCAGAAGAAACAAGTGACCTTGTTTCCTTGGCGTGTTACCTGGAGTAAGTACAGGATATTTCACACTTTTATAAGTTTTTATAACTCACAGTGCGGTTCTCCTGAGCTAAAGAGGGTGTGGATGGGATCTGAGGCACCCTTCAGTGGAAGCACACCTGGGACCTTGGCTCTTCACCACATCAAAGCAAGGCAGAGTGGAGCCTAAGGAGTCTAACTTATTTGAGAGTACTGCTCACCTGCTGTGTGGACCCTGTGGTTGGCTTAGTTTGTTATCGACAAAACAATTATTTTTAACCCTTCTGACAAAAGTAAATAATTCAGAGACAAAGTGGTGTGGTGCGAAGGGACAGTGGATGGCAAAGGAGCTTTACACAGGGCTGACAGAGGAAGCTCTGCTCTTCTCCAAGAGCTTAGTGCTGTCCTTTCCCAGTCCTGCTATTTGCTGCAGGTTGGTAGTGCTGTTTCTAAGCCAGGCCAGGGTTTACACGTGAAAACTGGAACTAATATTTCATTAAAATGGTGTGGAAATTAAAATGGAATTTTACTATTGAGAGCTATTGTTTTGTTAGTACAACAGAGATCTGAACCATGTGTGAAACAGCACCTTTACAAACTGCTGGGAGCCAGCTTTGATGCTTGTTAAAGCTGGGTCTGATGGTGGTGGTGTTTTAAGGGAGAGCAGCTGTACAGCTTCTGCAAGTGTCAATCGTGGGCAAAGTTTTCCACTTGACCATCACATCCAGGTGTGCAACTACCTGCTATGGGCGTTGTTAAATTGATCAACTAGAGCTTAAACTGCCTTGGAAAAACTAATATTGGCTCTGGGGCTACTGGTTAGTGCTCAGCATTGCATTTTAATGCCTTTTCACTTAACTAAAGAGGTGCTGCTGTAGCTGGAAAGCCACACTGTCAGAAGAGCTGCTTGGTAGGGATTTATTCGCTAGAACTGAGAGGCTCAGCGAGTAACAACTGGATAAAGGAGGTTTCTGATGATTGATTTGAATCCTAGTGAAATCACAGAATGAGAAGCTCATTTGAGCTCCGGAAAATCATGTTATACTTTCTGCTGGATTACCAGTCTGCAAAACAGACCTGACACTGAGCCTGCCCTATATTCACAGCCTGGCAGAGGATGGGTACCAGGTGGACACTGCAGCAAGATCCTCTGCTCTCAGCTGTGTGGTTTGCAGAGGCAGGACCCATGCCTGTGATGCAGAGTACTTCATCCCCAACCTTCCAGCAGCACTCCATTCATGTCAAAAACTGAAGTAAGCTAATTTTAATTTCAGTTTATGTGCTTTTGGAGAATGAATTTTGGATGGGGCAGGAAGTGGAGGAGTGCAGCAATGACCACTGCCTGTGCTCTGCTCCTACCACATCAACCACAGCAGTATCTCATCCCTCTATCGCAGGGAGGGAGGCCTCAGTCTATCACACCTCTTTCTGTTTTATTTTCTACCTTCCTTTATAATTTTTCTAAAGCTAAAACACGTTTTAAACCTCTTCCATGACATGCTGTCAATGATCACAGGTGGCTCTGTTCTGAGTAACAGCTTGGCAGGAAAAAAGAAGCAATAAGGTAAGCTTATTCCCATGGTGTACTTTGGAAATTACTGGATACATCCAGTAGCATTCTGGCCACCAGAAAAATTATTTGTACCTCTGGATCTATCTGTTGTATTTTTTCCACAGTTTATTTGAAATATGTGGTTTTTTTGAGAGTAACGTATAAGTTCAGGAAGAGCAACCATTATTGCAATGCGTCTGGATTTTCCAGCAGATTCTGGGGGAACTGTGACTTTTCAAGGCTAATGTGTCTGAATTTATGTAGAGTGGATCCATGCTGACTCAGCAGGGAGGTGGATGGGATGTGCCTCCTGCTTCTCTGCAAACAAGATTGCTCAAATCAGGAGAGAGAATAGGGATGATGCTGTTACAGATAGCAGAGGGAGGCAGGGATGGGGCTTTCCCATTCTTTCTGTTGTTTGCTCATGGTAGGTGGTTAAAAGTGTACTCAGGTCCCTCCAGTATTCTGTCCTGCACCCAAAGTTTAGACTCTGTTGTGAGGGCAAAGAAGAAACATTTAATTGCAAGCAATAAAAATTAAAAGTCCTTGCATGTGAAGTGTATTACAGATAAAATAGGCTTCAAGACAAGCAAGCCCAGTACTTATGGAATTTATTAGAACACAGATTGTGCTGCTGCCAAGAATATTAGATACAGATTTCTTTTTTTTCCCGTTGCCTTTGAGAGTATTTAGAGCATTGCACTTGAGAAGTTTCAAAGTCCAGATGAAGATTCAAATAACTTAGGAAATTGTATATGGAGAATTAGGGTTGCTTCGGGATTGTTTCTGACCTGAATTGGATGGGGTTGCTGTAGGTCTTACATCTTTGGGAAATGAATTCTTTTATTCCTTTTATACAAGGTTGCTGTCAATGATAACCAGACTTACAGTGTGGGTTGCTGATGTGCTGTTAACTCAAACAAATTATTTAATACTTTCCATTTCTTCCATTAATTTTTTTAATATGAGTTTTAAAAATTATTTTTAATTCTATCCTGTAGTTAGTTCTATTATTGTTATTGAAGGTTACAGTTTCTTTTAATAAGAAGATATTCTTTGTCTACTCACAGCATTTGTGACTCAAGGATGTGGCTTACAGCTGTTTGTATTTTAAGACAAACAAAAAAGAGTTTCAGATATTTCAACTATGGTAAACAGGTACTGTAGCCTCTGTGCCTGGTTTATTTCTCTACTCTGATAAAGTCATGGGAAGAATTTACATGCTGAAGTTATCTGCCTGTGTTTCCTTTGGTCAAATCCTGTGGGTTAAACTTGTGCAGGTCTGCTCATAACTTCACATTGATGGGTGATATCAGGAATCATCCTAAATTATGTGTCTTCTTGTTTCTGTGAGAACATTTGCATTAAGTATAGGCTTCATCAGAGTATTTTTAAAAGCTTTGTCCCGGATTGGTTTTTTTTTATCATTATACATACTCTGATTCCTGAAAAAACACCAGGGTGCTGGTGTATAATTTTTTATGCTTGTTTATAAACTTTTCTTGGTTGTTTCATCTGATAAAACATGAGGAATAACTTAGCATGGCTTTGACTTTGAGGACTTTATGTGAGAGGGCAACATATGTGTGCAGAAGTCATGCAAAATAAATGCATTCATAAATGTGGTGAGGAAAATGCTGCTGCTGCCTACCCAATTTGAAAGGTCAGATTTTAATTCTAGTCTGGTTTCCTTTTCTGCATTTCCTTGATGCAAGAGCTGCAAGTAGATGTATGGAAAAATAAACATTTATGCAGGGGCAATGACCTGGATTTAAGAGCGGGTATAGTAAGAGTGTGAGTAGGTGGCTAGGGGCTTTTTCCTCCCTCTTAATGAACTTAAAAAACCAAATATGAGTCATGCTGGGAGTGCTACAGGACTTTCTGATCAAGTCAGTGGAATAATAAGCCCAAATGGCATACTAGGGATTTTAAAAGTTAAACTGAATTACATTAAGGTTAAACCTTGGAGAAGATGCTGGAGTAGGTGGGTGCTCAGTGGGAAAATCCAACTCAGCCAACATGACCACATGCAGTAATAAAAATATTTTCTCTGGCAAGAGCTCCTTAAAATCATAGACTCCTGCAGAATAAATACCTTTCTGATGATAATCTGACTCTTCTGTTTACCATCCCAGTTCAAAAACTGACTGGTGCAATATCTTACTCTGTGGGGTTTTGTGAAACCCTTAGGGTGTGTTTGAACAAGGCCAGCTCCAGAAAATATTGTGGGCTGATCTGCTCTTTCTCATAAGGTTGGACAGGAGCACTTTGGTCATCTCCAGGGTTCATGAAACTGAACTAAGTGCTCCTCAATTTCTTTCAGTTTTTTCAACTGAGTTGTGCTTTGAAATGGCTGGGCAGGGGAGGGAGCTGCATGTCCTCGAGGAAAACCCCGGGGCAAAGGTGAGATCACAGATACATAACTTTAAACATGAGTTTAAGAAATACACTAGGCTTAAGTCAAACCACTTTTAAACCGGATATCTTCCAATATTTTTCAAAGTCCTCTGCCAGTTGAGGTGAGGCTGAATATATGAGCAAATTCATGAATTATTCAGCATCTGCTCTAAGTGGAAGGCCAGGAATTGATTGCATTTACTGTATATACTGTGAAGAATTTCAGGACAGCAATTCAGCAGGTTTGTTTCTTTGTGTAGGTCCCGTCCTCTCACACAACCACAGAAACTCATCCTTCACATAGCTGTATGAATATGGCCCTACAAAACCCTGCTGTAATTCAGATCATGTTGGGATCTCAGATGTTTTCATAGGCCTTGAGCTTTCCCACTTCATAATTTTGTTTCAGTTTTCAAGGCTCTCTGTGATGTGGGAGTTTCCAGAGTGCTTATCTTTTTTTGCCTAGGATGCAAAAAGATTCGGAGAGCTACAGCAAGACATGAATCACCCCATTATCACTGCCATTTTAACCTGGAGATGCCTGATAGTTCAGGGCTTGCTGAGCATGATAGAAAACTCCTTATGTTGAGACTGAAGAATGACAATAGGACAGTTATTTTTCTCCACATGCCTTATAAATGCTGTCTCTTTCTTCCTCTTACCACTATTTAGTCAGCTGCAAAAATGAGTTCTGGTGGTCCAATCTAAACTGGATATTGGTTAGTGATCCAGACATGGTGGGAAATAGTGTAAACCTTCTGGCTTGTGTGTCAGTAGGAATTACAAGGTTTACATGTGTGATAAATCATACTGCCATAACAAGGAATTTCCATAGTTGTTAGTGACTTCAACACCAATCCTTGTCCAAAACTCACCAGCCTTAGATAGGCTGTGAGTGGGAGTGGTGAAGCATGTTCAGCAGTAGCAAAGGTCTAAGCACCAAGGTAAGATTCATCTAGCAAACAGATATCTGTCATATTTCAGAGTTAGAAAACCAACTGATGACTCCATTATGTTTTATCACAGTAGTTTAAACTTGTGTCCAACTTTTTTCTGTGCTTAGAAGAGCTATGGATTTTTAACTGATGTCAGCTAGATTTGTTATTATACAAGCCAATTTTCTTTTGGCTCAATTTTTTGGCAAATTATAGTTCTATCTGTACTTAGAGAAGTCTGGGTTCCTACATCTTTTCTAACCGTGAGGACAAAACCATTGAAATCTGTGGTGCCTCTGTATCACAAGGGAACAGATATCAGCCACCCTTGGGAGACCCATCATCCATGACCTTTTTTATCTGTTATATTGGTGCTGTTAGTGCAGACTAGGTGTACTGATATTGCCATGACTAGAATTGGCCTTAGCCACTACCTTGAGATAAGTCTGCATTTTTTAAAACTTCTTTCCATTTAAATCTGTGCCTAAGACTTTTTCAAAAATACAGATATATAGCAGAAAACCAGCATTTGGCATCCGTTTGTACTGATTTACACAGAGCTGTGCGAGGTCTTATGCAAGGAATATTATGCTTAGTATCTTTCTTAAGACTTGAGTTTCAGAAACCGGTTTGGATCTAGTGATAATCTGTACAAATTTTGAATAGTGAAAAAATAGGAAAAATTCACAGCAAAGCCTGTTCAGTGCATTGGGAGAAGATATTTCAGCTGCAGTAGCAGCATATGGAACCTCAAGGTTTATTAAATTAGGTTCATGTTAAAGCTCATTGTAAAGTAGTGGAGACCAGAATCATGCATTTTGTGCTGGGGGTTAAAGCACATGGAATGGTGGGTTTTGGGTCTCTTCCACCCTCCTGGGGGTTGTGCTGGATCTCCTGGTCTGTGAGTCAGTGTTCGGTTTTCTATTCCTTTTGTGCAATCTCCCCCCCACCCCACATATATCCTTATACCATAAAATTCTCATGACATAAGACACTTCACATTTGATAACTGCACAAAATAAATTATGACACTTGGCCGTGGTTGTTATACATAGCTTTAATTGCTGTGTACAGTTTTAATTTGCTTCCTTGCATTAGCCATCAAAATGTACAATTAATTAGCAACAGAATATTTGCATTAATCAGCAAAGACTCTACTTTGTAACAGCCATATCTTCCCTTCCCAGCCAGCCCCTCACTGCCTGGCAGCCCTTCCCTAACCCAAGCCTCGGTGGGATTTCCAGGGGTCACGGCAGCTGCATTTGCCATCCATATACAAACTTGACTCACTTCTCCCAGCACTTCTGCAGTGCAGCTTCTCATTGACCCATCTCAAGAACTCTTGCAGACTCTCTTTAAATTGTGAGAATTTAGGTCCTGTCGTCTTTAAGCAGCTCTTGTCATAGGATGAAGATTTCTAAGGGCAAAAAGGAGGTACTGATGCATGAGTTACAGATGCTGCACATTCTGTCTCAGCTCACTGAGATGGAGGAGGATGCTGTCCTTCACATCCCCAAAACAATTTCACACAATTCTTAGAAATCATTAGTCATTAGCTATTTCTCTTCGACTTTCACAGTACTTTTCACAGTACTGCAGACTTTTCTGTGTTGATTGGGGGAGGGGGGGGGGGACGCGGGCGGGCAGAGGAGTCATCTGCCAATTTGGAAGGTCAAAACCATTTCTGTCACAATACCAAATCCTGGGGACTGTGAGGAAATGTGGGACACTGGCTGGGTCCCAGCGCAATCCCAGCTGTAGCATTGTGGATCACTTGTTGGTTGGATGACAGACTTAGACATGGCTTATTCTGCAGCTGCAATAGATAGAAAATTGATGCTTATCTGGTTTTCTTCCTAAAGCCTGCTTCTCTGTTGCAGGGGATTACCTAAACACAGTTACTGTTGGAAATTCGGCCACTGGTCTTTGCAAACCCTATTTTCTATCCCCTGATTTCTGTCTTTCTCTCTTTTGGATTAAAAAGGCAGATTTTTCTCTGTAGATCTCTCTGATCTGTTTTTTCTGCTATTAATTGTCTTGTTCTTCCTGAAGGACAAACTGTACAGGCCATTATTAATTGATAATGACCTAATAGATAATAACCTAATATATAATCTTTTTTACTGCAGGTCTAACTGAGCCATATTGATATGGTCTCCATAAGAATGAATTTGTGCATGGGAGAGAAAGCTTGGTATCCTTCCCTGGGGCTGTAGCTGGTTCAAAATTAAAAATTAGTGATAATTCATTTGATAAAATGTGAGAGTGGTAAATCACCTGGTTTCAAAAACCCTGGATAAATAGATAATTACAAGAAAATGTTTGAAACTCAATTCAATCAAATAGTAGAAGCTTACCTTCAAAATGTAGCAGATTTTTTCTAGCTTTTGCATATCTTCCTCCACTTTACTCATACATGTCCATTTGGGAATCTTTTTTAGTTCGTGAATAAATATTTCAGTGTTATTATGTGCACATCTTAGTTTCTAGGAAAAAAGGGAAACATGATGTTCTAATTTGTGACAAGAAAGCTTTTCTTTCTTAAAAGAACTGTTAATAAATCATATTGAATATGCCATTTTTCCTCTGGAAATCTAAACTTCTTTCATTCTTTTTAGGATTTCCTCTTTCCTTCCTTCTTGCCAGAAATGTCATAAGGACAGTTTTCATAACTATCATAGCTAGAAACTTTGAAATAAAAAGAGTCCAGTTTCTG